ACCATTATGAGATACCGTCTCGCCCCTCAAGAATGGCACTAATTTGAGGGGAAAAATAAATAAATAAATGCTGGGAAGGTTGTGGGAAGATTGGAACTCTCACACACTGCCGGTGAGAATGTAAAATGGTACAGAAACCCCTCTAACACGCCTCCCCACCCCCTTTCGTTTTCCCCGCTTTCCCATCTTTATATTAACCGCGGCTTGTTCTGAGCACTATTTTCCAGGAAGTCCTAGCAGTTGGTGGTTGCGCCCTCTGAACCAGTTCAAGCCAGATCCTGGTGCCTGCACAGAGGGGATCGAGTCCTTACCTGACCCCTGACTGATCATCACCAGAAGGGAAGATATTCTCCAGCCCACAGTTTCACCTGAGCCCTTTTAAGGAGTGAGAAGTCCCACAACAGGGACATCCTGTGTAGAATGAGTCAGCATTGGGACCTCCAAATCTGGGTATGGGAGGGCTACTGGCGGAGAGTTTCAGGCGCCAATCCCTGCCCCAAGGACTCACATAAATAAAAGGTCTTCATTCCCTTTGGCCGGGAGCTCGAGGTCTTTTGGCCACAAGGTCCCAAGTTGCTCCTTGTCTGTGCAAACAATAAACTTGCCACTTTCTGTTCTCCTTGCAACTGGTAGCTATCTTATTTCAACTGGCTAATAGGACAGGACAAGAACCCGAGAGGCATTCAGTTACAGTACAACAACTATGGAAAATGATATGGCGCTTCCTTAAAAAGCTAGACATAGAAATATCATATGATCCAGCAATCCCACTCCTGGGAATATATCCTAGAGAAGTAAAAGCCATCACACGAATAGACATATGGCACACCCATGTTCATTGCAGCATTATTCACAATAGCAAAAAGACGGAAACAACCTAAGTGTCCATCAACAGATGAATAGATAAACAAATTATAGTACATACACACGATGGAATACTACACAATGATAAAGAAACAATGATGAATCCGAGAACCATCTCACAACATGGATGAATCCGGAGGGCATTACGCTGGGTAAAATAAATCACAAAACGACAAATACAGTATGAGACCACTATTATAAAAACTCAAGGTTTAAACGCTGAAAGAAGCAATCATAGAGGGTTATCAGGGAGGGGAAAGATGAGGAGGGGAAATTACTAACTAGATAGTAGGCATACATTAACTTTGGTGAAGGGAAAGACCATACACAATGCAGGGGAAGTCAGCATAACTTGACTAAGGCAAAGGAAGCCGCTGAGAGACAGGAAAACTGGAACTGAACAATGGAAAATGGGAAGCGGGGGACGGGGGAGGGCTGACACATTGCAGGGATTGCAACCAATGCTGCGAAGCAATTTGTGTATAAATTTTTTGAATGGGAAACTAGCATGCTCTGTAAACTTTCACCTCTAGCACAATAAAATGTTCAAAAAAAGGGAAAAATAGATCAGTAAGAATTCAAGCAAGATAACTGGTAGAAGAAATTCAACAATTTTTTTTCTTTCTTCCAAGAATTGCTCACAGTTTCTGCTCTGCTGCGTGGCATCTTGCCCCTCCTCGCATCCGTGGTGTTATGGCTGAATTATTTTAAAGTATCTTCTTTTCCTGTCATTATAAGTGGCTTGGGTTGGGGAAATAAAGGCACATATACTCAGTCAAAAAAATTTCTTTTGATTATACATAAGAATCAGCTGGGGATGTTGTTAAAACGTAGAGTCTGATTCAGTATATTTGGGGTGGAAATGCAAATTCTCAGCAGGGGTTCTAACCAGTATAAACCGGTTAGAAGCACTGGATTCTGGAGGAGCCCAGGTCCTGCTTATCAACTGATACAGCCCTCTGACAGAACAAAATCTCTGAGCATGTGACTGAGGGTCCTGCCTGCCCAGAAACTCTTGTAACTAGTAAACAGCTTAAACCAAGCAGTCAGATTGTTTTGGAGGATTGGTAGGACCTTTCTTTGTCCCTCAAGAGTCTCCAGTGCCCTGACAACAGGAAAGATAGGAGCAGAGGAGTCAAATCCAGAACACGGTTGTTGAGCCTCTTCTTCAGGGTTGTGGGTGACATGTTTGTGTGTGTGTGTAGAGGGGCGCAGTCTTTAGGGTTGTGGGTGAGATGTTTGTGTGTGTGTGTGTGTGTGTGTGTGTGTGTGTTGCGGGGCGCAATCTCCTCACCAGAGACCGGTAGGAGGCAACTCCCTTTAAGCAGGTTGCCCAGCTGGGCACCCACCACTTAACCTGGATTTGAATGAATCGAATTTTCGTTGCTAAAACCGGCAGGGTACTAAATCAGGGAGAAGGGAAGCATGTCCATTTGCAAAAACAAAAGGCTTCGGCGGCTTTTGATAAATTACAAGGATTGGAGGAGACAGTAGGCCACCTGAGAGTAGATGAAGGTCCAGTCCAGATTAAAGAAGGCGATGCTGCCGGGCCGCACTACGCCTACACATCTCTCTCTGAGGGTTTCACCCCAGGTGACTGGATTCGGTCGCATAGGGAGGGACCTGGGCTGGTGAGGCACGCCGGTAAGGTCACTGAGTTTTCTAATCTGAGTGCTTTTCAGATAAACAGCAGCCGGTGTTCGAATTCCTCCTTCTCAAACCCTTGCGTTTGAATGGATTCCGACTCTTAGCGACCCCACAGGACAGAGAGCTGTCCCACTGGGTTTCCAAGGCTGTAAATTTCTACAGAAGCAGACTGCCACATCTTTCTTCCTCAGAGCGGCTGGTGGGATCCAACTGGCGACCTTTCGGTTAGCACCGCATGGCTTAACTACTGCGCCACCAGGGTACTTCCCTGTTCCCTCGCAATCAGTTCGTCCCACGAGCGCGCGCTTGTAGAGTCCGGAGCGAAAGGCAGAAAGGAAGTGAGGCAAGAGGCCGGCCTGGGAACCGAGCACTGAGCGGTGCCGGGTGGGACCGAGGATGAATGGCAAGGGTTCGGGGAGGGACGTCGGTGGCCTCAGTGAGCGCCGCGGGGCGGGGAAGTAGGCACGGCGGCGCTGAACAGTGCGCGCAGCAGGAATGAAGACTCCAGCACAACTCCTGGCGCCCCCTGGAGGCGAGCGGGGCCAAGCCGGCTTCGGAAACAATGCCTCGGGCCGCGTCAGCCGGCGGGGCGTCTGGGCTCCCGGTGAAGGCGTGAGGACCCACGTCTCACTCCCAGACCTAAGGCCCAGCATCTCTTCAGAGCTCAGGCTCTGCTGAGCCTTTTGGTTCGGTGAGCTTCTGTTTCATTTGGGGTTTATTTTCCAACTATTTTGTGTTGGGGAAAGAGGGGGCTTTTAGGCTTCTTTGTATTTTAGTTAGAAATGAAAAGGCTTAGGACCAGTTTGGCCTTTTGCAGCTCCCAGGCCTTCCGCGGCAGTGCACCCACGACTAGGGAGGGAAGATGGAAGCTGAGCCTTTAGAGACCCGGCTTCTTGGAATTCAGAAGGTGCACGCCCTGCTGACGGCAACTTTCACAGTGTGTTTACTGCCAGGAAGGAGTAGAAGATAACTCTGAGTGGGCTTTCGCTACCCACGCGTTAACGCCCTCCACTCAAACAGCGGGATCACAAAGCGAGAGCGGCGGTCTGGGCCTGGCCCTAGGCCGCAGCTTCTTCCGGAAAGAGAAGCCGCGGACAGAGCCTGCTGATGGCCTCAAGTGGCAAGACAGGAATAACAATTCGCCTACCTTAAATATGAAGGAAACTAGGCGGGCTCGCTCTCCCGAATTATCTCTTTGGATCTGCACCGCCCACTGGCATGGGAGGCTGAAGGGGCGGAGAACGCCTGCCTTGAGGGGAGACTAGGAGCGATTTATAAGGAGCATCTCACCCCCACACACACCTTCCCTATCTCGGCACCCTAGTCCCGTTTACACCTGTGAACTTACTGTTTGCAGTAGGGGACCAGACCCTTAACTCCACGAAGCAGAGGCCAAGCCTGTTTGTTCATCTTTGCATACCCGGTGTCCAGGATGGAGCCCGTTGGTATGTGGAGGATCAATGAACCAATTCTGCCAGGACCAGGACTGGCTCTTGTGGATCTCTAAGCAGTGATCCTTCCTCTGCCCCACAAAAAGGACCCTCGCCCCTGCCTAGCCTTCCCACATGCCGCGATCTCTGCCAGTCACTTGGGCCGGGCACCATCCCTCCAGGCCGCGCCTCCTCTGGGGCCCACACTCTGGCTCTCTAGAGCGCCCTGCTGCAAGAACCAGTGTGTGTTAGGGCCTATGATGGCCTCAGTATTGAGTCATCCCATCCATTTAAGGAAGAAAAGTTTCTTCTCCAAAACGGGGGGATGGTGGGCAGTCTTGTGTGATTCCGGTAAGACTTTGTAAAGGCGTTTCCACAAGGGCAAAATCTTTACACTCTCAACAAAATAACCCGAACGCTTTTATTATTTCGTTTTCCGTGTGACCGTTTTGCTCAATTTTACACTTCTGATTTTTTAAAAAGGCAGGAGACAGCACACCGCTTGGGCCAGGGAGCCAGGTTGCTAAACTGGCTGGAGATTCGGGGTGAAACGAGGCTCCTCGAGTAGGCCCCGGACGGGCTGATCCTGGGAGCAAGCCAAGGGTTCAGAGTCCGGGGTCTGCAGGCTTGCAGATCCTCGGCACACGGTTTCGCCCCGCAGCCCCGGGACGCGAGCGTAAACTTCTAGCTGGGGCCAAACAAATCCCGGACGGGCCTCGCTGTTGGGGGGCTGGGTGGATTCCAGCCGGGACTTGGCGCCGAGGCCGCTGGCAGCGTTAACCCGCAGCCTGCGTCCCGCACGCTCTCGTGGGGGCTCACTGGCCGGGCTTGTTTGTTGCTGAAAGCAACCACAGAGAGCGCGCGGCAGCATCTGGGGAGGGGGGCGCGGCCAGAATTTCCTTCCAGGGCGCGCGTGAGGGGTATTTACAACGGAAAACTAAACCAAAAAAGTAGTGACCAACCCTCCTCGGATTACTCTCCACTGGCTCCTCCCTTCCATCCCCCACCTCTAGATTTGCATTAAAAAGGCCAAGAAAACTAGCTGTGTCCCAGCAGCGGCCCACTCTGCTCCCCCGGGTCGGAACCCCTAGGAGCTGCGCGCCGGGTTGCAGCGCTAAGCCGAGCGGAGAGCTCCTCGCGCGCCCGGAGCTCCTCGAGCTCGGCTCCCTCGCGCTCCAGCTACAGCCTTCCAGGCCCTCTAGCCGCGCCGAGCCGAGCAACGGGCCCGGGACGAGCTCGGGCTCCGGCCGCCTTGCGCTTTCCCGGCTCGGTCCCGCTGCCCCCCGGGGGTCGCGCGCCCACGATGCCACAGGGCCCTGGCTTGCTGCTGCTGCTCGTCCTCGCCTCGCACTGCTGCCTGGGCTCCGCGCGGGGGCTCTTCCTCTTCGGCCAGCCAGACTTCTCCTACAAGCGCAGCAACTGCAAGCCCATCCCGGCCAACCTGCAGCTGTGCCACGGCATCGAGTACCAGAACATGCGGCTGCCCAACCTGCTGGGCCACGAGACCATGAAGGAGGTGCTGGAGCAGGCGGGCGCCTGGATCCCGCTGGTCATGAAGCAGTGCCACCCGGACACCAAGAAGTTCCTGTGCTCGCTTTTCGCCCCCGTCTGCCTCGACGACCTGGACGAGACCATTCAGCCATGCCACTCGCTCTGCGTGCAGGTGAAGGACCGCTGCGCCCCTGTCATGTCCGCCTTCGGCTTCCCCTGGCCCGACATGCTCGAATGCGACCGCTTCCCTCAGGACAACGACCTCTGCATCCCCCTCGCCAGCAGCGACCACCTCTTGCCAGCCACCGAGGAAGGTAAGCTTTCCCTCTTACTTCTCACCCCTCTCCAGCTCAGCCGAGGCGCCCCTGGAGGATCCTTACGTCCCCACCGTTTCTCCCCACCCCCATCGCGGGGCGTCCGCACCGGGGGTGCCAGTCCGGGACGGATCAGAAGGTTTCCTTGCCCTGGTCTATCACGCGACAAGCCTGTACCAAATTTGAGACCCGTTACCCCACGTCTCGCATTTCCTTCCCAAGTTATACCAGTTGTTCTTTCTTAGGGATGGTTAAAAAACAAAAACTGAAAGTCGTCTCTGTTCTTCATAGATGCACATTTAAAAAAAAAGAAAAAAAGGTGTTAGCGCTGGGGCCGCACTTCTGAGCGTTGGAAACGGCCCTGTGTGGTGGAGTTGGTGAGCACCCTGGCCAGAGGCTCCTCGCTCAGCCTCTTTCAGCACGTCCTTACCACCGGATTCTAGTCACAGGAACATTCCCGTACAGGCAGGATAACCAAAATGCACAGATAGCCTTTTAAGGTATTTTTTGTCCTTTGCCAATTTAGGTTTTGGAACTAAAACGAGGACTGGTTAGAGGAGGAGTCTAGAAAGGGGCGCGTTGAGTAATTTAGTATTGGTTGAAACAGTTCAGGTGTTTGAGGAAGAAATATGTCAATACAGCACAAAGGGAATCTCTAGGAATCATCTTGCTATCTCTGTCAGCTTTTATTTTAGGAGTGGTTTTAGTTAACTGGAGAAAATCATGCAAAAGAGAGTTTCCCCCGTTTTTAGAAAACGGAGAGTTCCTGTGCAAAAACCATCAAAGCAATGAAAACCTCATGGGCTCTTGATACTTTTCCGGAAAGGAAACCGAATACAATGCATCTGAGCTGATTTAGGTCCCCCTGGGATGGAAAGGGGGCTTCCTAATCCCTTTCAGGGCGTTCAACAGCATCTCCCTTTCAATTTCTAATTGTTTTCCTACAGCCATCATTATTTAAAGAAAATGCAAAGTTGCTTAGCAATCTTTCCTGGCAGGCACTGCTCATTTGCAAACATCTTATTGGTTAGATTTCTAATTTATTGCAAATGTTTTGCATTTTTCAAACATCTGTCCAACATATACCAAAGACCAACCAATGCAGGTTAGTAACATTTTATATACATTCCTAGAGCCCCTAATGGAAATGCTGTTTCTAAAGGCAGTTTTGCGTGTGTGTTGCTTTTGTTTTTCTTTCTTTCCACCATAAGCATCAACATCATACACTGTACATTTCTCTAAAAAAAAAAATCATTTTCCCACTTAAAAATAAAAGTTTGTGTTCTTTGGAATTTGCTCTTTGTGATTTTTCTAACTTGATAAGTAATGCTTCTATTATTAGTGACAAAATTTTCTGTGAAAATTCAATTTCATACTAATGAAAATCTAATGTCACCTACATTTGAAAGGCCTCATTCACACATTTACAAATGGAAGAAGGGGAAGATGTTTTCTTCTACCTCCCCACCAAGAAATCAGACTTTTAGAAGAGCCTTTGGTAGGCGCTCTCATAATTTGTGCTAGTGCACAATTCCTAGGTTTGGTCAGACCCCAGAAATGGTTTTGCTTCCTCTTTGGTTAGCTTCAGGAAAAGCTTTGGGTGTTTTTTTTTTTTTTTTAAGAGTTTGAAACAGGCAAAGAAGGGCAAGAATAACCTGTAACAGGGAGCTCGTAGATCACAACGAAACAAACGCTGCTTAACCCAAACACAAATGTGGCAGAAAGTACAAGGTGATACCGACCAGTTGGAGCAGACTGTTGGAATTAGTGAGGTGGGTTTCTAAGGTGGAAATCACCCATACGTGATCATTACAACACTAGCCACCCACCCCTCCCAGTCCAGACTTGAAAATACCTGGAAATGACTCCCCAGAGACACAGAGCTCTTCTGAGGAGCTCCGCAGAGACTGGACCTCCCCGTGCCCTGCAGCTGACAGAGACAATCTTTCAGCCATATTTTATGGTTACCACTTTTCTGAAATTCCTGAACAGTCTTTGGCTCTTTTGGTGTTTTCTCCTTAGAAGGGCCATGGAAATAACTTCTTCAGAGACTCAGTTTGTCTCAGGGGTGGGGAGGAAGAGACGAAGTGCCGCAGCCTGTCCCCGTTAACGATAGCTACACAAACCTGCATACTCCATCCACAACTCCCTTTTTATTTGGGATTCACTGTTTATTAAACACAACCTGTGGGCATTCTCATTTTGCTCAACCAAAAATGAGAGGCCTGGGATACTTTCTGAGGAATGAGTGATCCTACTTGTATAAATGAGGCAGCAGCTGGAGTCACATATCACATAGGACAATTGCCTGGATAAAGCCCTTGGATTGTTTAAAACGTCACTTGCTGTTTCTTTTTAAGGAAACTTACTAAAGACTGTTTTTCACATTTCCAGCTCCAAAGGTGTGTGAAGCCTGCAAAAATAAAAATGATGATGACAATGACATAATGGAAACTCTTTGTAAAAATGATTTTGGTAAGTAATCACCACCACCAATTAAAGATTTCACATTCAAAAGTTTTATTACCGGTAAAACTTAAAGCTACAAACTATTAAAATATTAGTAGAGAGAGGTTGGGTGAAATACAATCGTCTCATCTGCTCTATCCTAGTTTACTCCCCATCTAGTTTTCTGTGTATCTTTAGGTGAGAGTCATCGTTCTGTTAGGCAACCATCAAATAATGAGAATTATTCAAATTAAGAATTTTCAATGGCACATTTTTAATCTCATTTTGGGTTTTTCTTGACAACAAGCATAATCCTGGGCCATATTCTCCTTAGTTACTCGGCATGTGCACCAGGATGAAAACATGTAAATATTAGCCCCAGTTGGCCACAAATAAAAAATTTACTCTGGTGCTAAAGAGAAAAAAAATTTACTCTGGTGCTAAAGAGAAATATTTTTACATTATTTATAACCCATAATCATTTGTGTCTGTATTTTCCACCACTAGTGAATATATCCAAGATGCTAATTAATAATTTAGACAGGTTTTCTTAAATTTATTTTTAAATTTTAAATCTTTAAAAAGATTGGTTTATAGAGAAGCCACCTAACATGGACTTGAAACACCACCATAAAATCATTTTTTAAAATAAGTTCTTTACAAAGTTTTTATAAATAAGCCCAGAAACATTATGCACACTTTTGCAAATAGTAAAAAAGAAAAAAGAAAAAAAAAGGAATTTGCTTTAATAAGACACATGGAAGATGACATGGTGATGTGGCACCTGGGGACAATAAGTAATGTGTGTGATATGTTACCCAAGTTCCATAAAGTGTAAATCACCACACTTGAAGGCATATTACTAAGAAGGAGAGTTGGAGCCTTTGTCTGTGCAGGACTCCACCAGTGCCTTATCTGCTAAATAGAGACTTGAGGAGAGGCCACGAACTTCGCTCAGATTCCTCTGAGGCATGCTTCTTGCTTGTATTCTATTCCAAGAACAGGTACTTTTTGGTATGCCTTTAAAAGGCAGAAGGTTGAATTTACTGGTAAACAGATATGTTGAGGAATGCCCCCCTACTCTCTCCTTACCTTCCCATCCCAGAATCTCAGGCCTGGTCAGGCCCCTGAAACTCTAGGAACAGTGCGATCGCTGCTGCTGCTACCGCTACCTTACAGCTCAGGTCGCTTCCAGGAAATGTTCTGGATTCAACCTTGCTGGCTGGTCCAGAACAGCCATAGTCACAACTTTAGGAAAAGGCTTCACACTGCTGAGAAAGGGAAAAAGAAAGAACAGGCAGCTATAAGTCCTAACCAATCATTTCCCTCAGGAAGAACCACCAGTGGGGATGTTGTTGTTGTTAGGTGCCGCTGAGTTGGTTCTGACTCAGAGCAACCCAGTGTACAATGGAACAAAACACTGCCGAGTACTGCACCATCCTCACAGTCACTGCTATGTTTGAGCCCATCGTTGCAACCACTGCGTCAGTCCATCCAGTGGGGATGACAAGGTTGCATATGTCCATGTTCAAACATATACAGCTCTCAAATTAGTTGAGGTTGAGGCATGTTAGCAGCAAGTACTCCCAAATCATCAGAACCTTACCAAAACCTAGTTCTCAGCTTCCATGCTACAAGACTTGCGTAAGGATGAGATAGAAAGATGTAATTTTAATAAAATTTATATAAAATTTCATATAAAATTTTTTATCTGGCAGCTTATGTCCTTTACACTAGATTTAACACAAATTTTTCTCCTTACCTCCATGAAAAAGTTGGTTATTACATCATGGGGCTCCAAAGCAGTAGGATTTAGGGCACTCACACACACACACAGTGCTAGCTTTACAGAAGACCTCCTTTCCAAGGATCAGGACCCGGCCAAAAAATGGTTGTATATGTGAATGTGCCCCCATATTCTCTCTCTTTAGAGACAGAAAACTTTTCACAACAACATGGAGGTCGTCACACTGAAGGTAGTACATGCAGCTACGTCACGAGCTTTGTTTTCTATTTCCCCACACTCATTTTGACCCATGAAGGGATAATGAAGCTGAATTTCAGGAAGTGCGTCATACTCCTGTTTTATATATTGCCTGTGTTCTTAGGGAGTGATGAAATGGTAGAATGGACGCGTGTAGAAATCTAATTTATGTAATTTGAACCATCCATGAAAACATCACACCCTTCCCCACTCTTGAAGTACAGAGAAAATGAAGACTGCCTCTTCACTTCAGTGGTGAAAGGGTAGATCAGAATTGCCTTCTACTGTATACACCCCCTTGTTAGACCAGAAAGTATCATCACCTCTGTCTCCTAACAGATCCTACATCCTCATTCCAGGCAAGAAAAGGTATTTTTGGACTTTGATTCCCTATATTTGGTCCTAACTGAATATCCAGGCAGGAAATCCTTGGTGTTTTCCCATGGTAAACTTTTGCAAAGTTGGTTAATTTAGAACTAGAGAAAGATGAGGAATAAATCTTCCCCCAGGTTAAAAGTGGTGATTCTTCTGATGTTAGAAGCTCAAAAATGTTTCATTTGACCAGGTGAAATCTTACAGAAGCCCATTCTGTGCTATAAATGAGGTTCCTAGGTAATGTATAATCAGTTTGCTTCTCCCACCATATGTCTTCCAGCACCCAGACCTCCTATGCAGATACTGCAGGAACATATGACATTTCTTTCTCCATGGTTTAAGTCTCATAAGCTCTGAGAACTCAGCTCACAGCATCTTTGACTTACCTGGTTGAGCTTCTCTCATTTCCTGGTTGACTGACTGGAATAGCCATACTCAGTGAAATTCCCTTGTGGTTAAAGCGCTCAGCTGCTAACCAAAAGGTTGGCGGTTCGAACCCACCAGCTGCTCTGTGGGAGAAAGACGTGGCAGTCTGTTTGCATAAGATTAAAGCCTTGGAAACCTTGGAAATGAGTTGGAATCAACTTTGACGGCAAGTAATGTGTTGTTTAAATTAGTATTAGAGTTTTTTTTGTGTGTGTGTGTAACTCATTTAGGGTTTTCTTTTTTATTTCCTGTTGCCGTCAAGTCGATTCCAACTCATAGTGACCCTATAGGACAAAGTAGAACCACCCCCATAGGGTTTCCAAGCTGTAATCTTTATGGAGGAGCCCTGGTGGCACAGTGGTTAAGAGCTCAGCTGCTAGCCAAAAGGTTAGCAGTTCAACTCCACCAGCTGCTCCTTGAAAACCCTGTGGGACAGTTCTACTCTGTCCTATAGTGTCACTATGAGTCAGAATCGATTCAGTGGCAACAGGTTTGGTTTGGTATTTTGGAATCTTTATGGAAGCCGACTGCCACATCTTTCTCCCACAGAGCAGCTGGTGAGTTCCAACTGCCAACCTTTCTGTTAGCAGCTGAGAGCTTAAGCACTGCTCCACCAGGGCTCTCTGTAAGTCACTAAATGTCTCTGTATTTAAGATTCTTCATGTATTAACAAGAAATTTTAACTCTGATCCTTTCCAATCTTAAAATTCAATCCTTTCTCTGTTTTCGTGGAGTCTTGAAATTCCAGCATCGATGTTTGTAGAGTTTTTTTTTCTCAAAGAATACTGTTCATGACTATAAAATGTGTCTTTTATAGTTAACCACTTACTTTTGGTCTTAGCATTCTAATGAGTGTACATATACGTTTTGGAAACAGTACATATATCTGTAAACTCCTTGGCCTTGGACAGGCAAATGATAACATACAAGGATGAGGTATTCAGAAAGACACTTTTACAGTTAAACATGTTGTGCTTTTAAAAAAAGAGTCTTGCATATTTTTTTTTTCTCCTAGTTACTTTACCAAATCAAATTCAGCTGTGAGATCAGTTCTCCTTCCTTGTAATCTGTTCTTTAGAAAACAATGATTGTGTAATACAATTTCCTTACAGGTTTGTCCAAAAACCTCTCTGATGTAATAAATTGAGTTTAAAGTTTACGGCACCAGAAGGATCGTGTTTCACCTAAGAGGCAGGCATTTCTTTTCATGCTGAAGTTTCCAATAGGGGAAGTCATTTGTTGGGGAGAGCACGAACCACAAGCAACCTATGTAAAAACACAAGGGCAAGGAAACAAGAAGAAAAGTTAATTGAGTCCTGCAATGGGAAAGCGTTTCAAAGGATGGCTGATTTGAAACAAAGTGCCTGACAGACTCTTTGAGGCTTTAGAGATGGAGCCACCTGCTGCCTCCAGCCCCCAACCCCCTACCTGCAGCCACTGACAGTTTCATAGCCTGTCTTCCCTCCCCCAGGAGAGGTCCCACAAGTAGGGAGTAGGGTGGGGTGAGGAAGTCTCCCTACTTGTTGTTATTAGATGCCGTGGAGTCTGTTTCAACTCATAGTGACCCTATGGGGCAGAGTAGAACTGCCTCATAGGGTTTTCTAGATTGTAGTCGACAGGAGCAGAACACCAGGTCTTTCTCCCCAAGAGCCGCTGGATGGGTTCAAACCACCAACCTTTCGGTTAGAAACCAAGCGCTTAACGGTTGCGCCACCAGGGCTCCTACTTGTATCCTATCCCACTATTATAACTGGTGTGATTCTTTCTGCCCTTTCTTCATAGCGCTGAAAATAAAAGTGAAGGAGATAACTTACATCAACCGAGATACCAAAATCATCCTGGAGACTAAGAGCAAGACCATTTACAAGCTGAACGGTGTGTCCGAAAGGGACCTAAAGAAATCGGTGCTGTGGCTCAAAGACAGCTTGCAGTGCACCTGCGAGGAGATGAACGACATCAACGCTCCGTATCTGGTCATGGGACAGAAGCAGGGCGGGGAGCTGGTGATCACCTCGGTGAAGCGGTGGCAGAAAGGGCAGAGAGAATTCAAACGCATCTCCCGCAGCATCCGCAAGCTGCAGTGCTAGTTCCGGCGCCCATGTTGCTTCCGAAAGGCCGGCTCCAAACTCGGCTGACCGTTTCCACCCCAGGACTCAGCTCTCAACTCCCAAGCACAGTCCCTGTGGTTCCAGCCCGAGCCTGGAGCTTCCCCCCTGCCTTTTGCACGTTTGCACCCCCAGCATTTCCTGACTTACAAGACCCCAGGAATGGATAGCTGTTGTCACCTAAAGGAAAAACTCACCCAAATCTTGTAGACATATTCAGACTAATAAAATGAATATTTTTATGAAGTATTAAAATAGCTCACTTTAAAAGCTAGTGTTGAATAGATGCAACTGTGACTTGAGTCTGATTTTTTTTTTTCTTTTCGTGTTTGGATCGCTGGTTTTCACTTCCACTGAGGTTGTCCTAACAGGCCGACAGGTTCATTTTTCTATATGGCCCAAGCAGTTGTGGATCACAAACCCTGTTGAGATAAAGCTGGCTGTTATCTCAACATCTCTGTTCCAGCCTGATAATCAGTGTCTAAGTCTCATGACAAGTCACTTGTCATTTTACACCCTAGTTGGGAACTTCTAACTGTTGCATGTATTACATTTCCAGCTACGATAAATACTTCCATTGAAAGCACATTAACCATTAATCATAGCGTGATTTCTTTGAATTAAAGGGTGAAACAAATTTTATAATTGACCTGAGTACTTTAAGCTTTGTTTAAAACATTTCTTAATTTTGCAAATTAAACCGTTGTAGCTTACCTGTAATATACATAGTAGTTTACGTTCAAAAGTTGTAAAAATATTGCTTTAACCAACTCTGTAAATATTTCAGATAAACATTATATTCTTGTATATAAATTTTACCTCCTGTTTTACCTATTTCTTGTCTTCTGTTTTGTCTTTTTGGTAGAAGGAATTGGGGAGGAGCTGTATATTATAACTGGTTGGTCACTTCCATTCTCCTGAGGCCCAGCCCACTGTAGTTTTAAGTGTTTGTTTCTCAAAAGGCTCAGAAAGCAACACTCCTGTACCATCCGCCTTCCTGGCCCCATGCCTCACATCTCATGTAGATTCCACCACTGCTGGCTGCCCTTCCAGGTAGCCAGAGATTGGCAGCACTCTAGAAAGGGCTTTTGTTCTTTGGTCCCTTATCAGCAATTCAGGCACAGCTATGTGTCAACACTAAGATTCACAAGCTTTGTGGTTATGCTTTTATAATGAAAAAGAATAATAATTGTAAAAATGTCAATTCCTTCCCCACTTTAACTCTCGCAAAAAGAGAACCATGATTAGGAAAGTATCCACTGGAAGGCAGTGGGTAGGAGATAGTTCAAACAAACAAAAAACAGTGTTAGGATGAGAAGGGGACAGACAGACATCCATCCATGAAATGTCCACCCAAATGGCTTATTATTTTATTACTGCACCTTCACAAAAATTCTATTAGACACATGAGGTTCAGAGAGGTTGGGCAGCATGGCTCAAAAAGAGGCAGAGCCAAGACTGAAACTCTGTCCTCTCAGACAATACATTATGTCTTCTAGTCAACCTGTGAGTGAAGTATAGAAACATGGTGGCATTCATTTATGGTATTTTTGAACACTGCTCTGTGCCAGGCAGTATACACACTGGTCTATGATCGTGGAGCTTACACGAAGAGCGAGAGAAAATAACCACCCATAATTAAAAGTTATAATTATGTGTTTATAATCGTGACAAGTTATGTGAAGTAAAAGTACAGATGAGAGCAACAGAGTGTCTCCCATTCCTGTGAAAATTTTAGGGACATTCTTATGAAGCCTTTATCTGATGGCATTTTATCAATTAAGCTTAGAAGTATTCTGAACGGACATCCACGATCATCTCTACAGCACCTCAAGTTCTTCTAGCACCAAAACTCAATATAGTATTTTTTAAAAAAGTCAATATAGTCCATAGCCTAGTTGCATGATTTCCGCAATACCTTTCATTTTCCTATGGGCTGCCAACTTTGACTCTGCTTTTAATTTGATTTTACAAACTCAGGACATGACCCTGCTCCCACAAAGGGCCTAGGCACTTGACGAAGAGGGCACTGATAGATCAAGGCCAACACTCATTGTAAACATTTGGAACAGGAGACTAGGAACCCTGGAAAAGGCAGAAAAAGAGAAAGATAAAAGGCAACAGAAAGAAAATAGTAAACCCAGAATTTAGGAATTAGAAGGGGAAATATGTACAATGTGTCAAAAACTAATAGAAACTATTTGGAAGAAACCTGTCTGAATGTTCCCTCTCCAATCAAGCCAAAAGCCACTTGCCTATATGTTGATGTTAGGTGCCATCGAGTCGGTTCCGACTCACAGCAAACTTACGTATAACAGAACTAAACGCTTCTAGTCCTCCACCATCCTCACAATCACTACTATGTTTGAGCCCATTGTTGCATCCACTGTGTCAATCTATCTCATTGAGGGTCTTCCTCTTTTTCGCTGACCCTCTATGTGCCTATATAAACCACAGCCATCGAGTGGATTCCGACTTATAGTGACCCCACAGGATTTCCAAGGCTGTAAATTCCTATGGAAGCAGACTGACACATCTTTCTCCCATGGAGCCACTGCTGGTTTCAAACCATGGACATAGTGGGATGCAAAAACTTCAGCTCTGGAGAGCCAATTAATGCCAGACAAGCGTGCTTCAGTCATATTTTGAGGAGTTAACAGCTCCAACACCCCTCCAATGTCTGCCTCTTGCCATGTATGCCTCTCCATGGACTTCCCAACCCCCACATTTCTCTCCTTCCCATGTTTGGGGCAGAGCAGGTATGTTTTGGTTTGATTGTTCATTTTGTTTTATTTGTTTTTTTCCATGATGGTTCAAACACATACGGCTCATTTATTCTTGGAATAATCATGATCATATTCTTGATTACTTTATCAACCATCAGGTTTCTTTTGTAGTAAAAACATGAATGTTCATCCATTATTGGAATAAGAAAACAAGTAATCAGCGGACACTGGATTTCTGAGTTTCCTAAGACGATTCATGACCTGTTAATAAACTGCTTCTTGTTGTTGTTAGCTGCCATTGAGTTGGCCCCAACTTATGGCAACCACATGCACAACAAAATGAAATGCTGCCTGGTCTTGTGCCATTCCCATGATTGGTTGCTGATCAGACCATTGTGCCCCGTAGGGTTTTCACTGGCTGATTTTCAGAAGTAGATCACCAGGCCTTTCTTCCTAGTCTGTCTTCGTCTGGAAGCTCCACAAAAACATTTTCAGCATCATAGCAACACACAAGCCTCCACTGACAGACAAGTAGTGGCTGTGCATGAGGTGGCTGTGCATGAGGTGCACTGACTGGGAGTCAAACCTGTGTCTCCCACTTGGAAGGCAAGAATTTTACCACTGCCCCATAATAAACTGCTGATATACCCAAAATTAGGGGTCACCTTAAATGGAAAAGTTGAAGGATATGAAAACTACGTACCTAGTAAGTATTTAATTCCTCTTTCCTTTATAACTTGAGAAATTAGTTGTTCTACAAGAACAAATTTATGAGTTTTTGAGCAACATTTCCCATATGTACAAAGGATAAAGACTGTCTACATGCACAGACCAGTATACTGAAATTCATAGAATTAGAAAGGATTGGTTTTATCTAATAGCTCCCTCCGTTCCTCACTCCTTATCCTCTTATCAAATGATAATTTTGGTTGGATTTTTAACCTTTCAACTCTTGTTTACTACCAGGTTTTCAAGCCAACCCAGGCACGTGTCCCTCATGCAGTCACTGCATGTTGATATGAAACAATGTGATTGTTGCCTGTGAAACCCATTGCACAAATACAGATTAATGAATTAACGCAGCAAAGATTTACTGAGAACTTCCACCATTTATTCATCCAGTAAGTAAGTACATATTGAGTGCTTATCCACATACCAGCCACTGTTCTAGGCAGTAGATAAACCAAAAAACTAGTTGCCGTCAAGTCGACTCTGACTCATCGCAATCCCACGATGTCAGAGTAGAATTGTGTTCCATAGGGTTTCCAATGGCTGATTTTCATCAGGCCTTTCTTTCAATGCACCTCTGAGTACTCTCAAACCTACAACCTTTCAGTTAGCACCCAAGCTAACCATTTGCACCACCTAGGAACAAGTTTCAGCCCTTTTGCAGTTTATATTCTAGATTTAAGAATTGTGTTTGGTACTAGAGATACAGAGATAGACCATGTTGTGGATGGCATTGTGTCCCCCAAAAAGATATGCTGAAGTCCTACCCCTGTACCTGTGAATGTGATCCTGTTTGGAAATAAGAATTTTATTTTGTTATTTTAATGAGGTCATTCCAGAGTAGGGTGCGTTCTAAATCTAATCCTTATCACTATGAATCAGAGTCGACTCAATGGCAACAGGTTTGTTTTTTTCTTTTTTGGTGTCTTATGAAAAGAGTAAACAGACATGGTGAGACACACACACAGTCAGCTTGTGAGGATCCATCTGCAAGCCACGGAACTCCAAGAAAAGCCCAGGCTACAGAAACTGAAGGAGAAAAGGAAGAATCTTCCCCTGGAGCCAACAGAGAGAGCATAGCCCTGCCCATGCCTTGAATTCAGACTCCTAGCCCCCAGAACTGTGAGAAAACAAATTTCAGTTCTTTAAAGCCACACCACTTTGTGGTATTTTGTTATGGCAGTGCTAGGAAACTAAGACAGACCCTACCCAAAGGGAACTCGTAATTTACTAAGACGGAGAGGCATGCAAACAAATAATTCCAACATTCTGTATTAGGAGGGAGGTGCGTAAATGCCCCCAAGGTGGCATTGAGGAGAGAGTGGTTAACTCCTATAGAAAATAGAATGTTTGATTCAGGATGGGTTAAGGATAAGGACAAAGGTACTCATAAGAAGAGAAGTTTCAATAAACTGCTCCACAATATCTTCTATTAGGACAGAGCCTTAGAAATCAAGTATTTATCATCAGTATTACATATTGACCAATCAACAACGGTATCGTGCAATTACCGTGTTGAATGTATTGTTCTAGGCACCACCAATAAATCTAACATAAGGCCTGTTTCTTTCATAAAACCTGTTGCTGTCAAGTTAACTCTGACTTACAGCGAACCTGTAGGACAGAACAGAACTGCTCCCCCGACCCCAAAGAATTTCCCGGGCTGTAATCTTTACGGAAGCAGAACCCCACATCTTTCTCCCATGGAGCAGTTGATGGGTTTGAACTGCTGGCATTTCAGTTAGCATCAGGGTGCTTAACCACTGTGACAACAGGGCTCCTGTATTTCTTTCATAATCAATAAAATGGAAACATTTGCAAATTACAAAAAATAAATAAATAGCATATAGCTCAGAAATAAATAGCAATTCTACAAAGTAAAACAAAAGATATTCTAAAAGCAGTCCATGATTGTTCAGACAGTGATGCAGATTGGTAGGTGCTAAGAAAGTGCAGTTAATAAAGATATGAGTTAACATGGCGTTAGAAGTACAAATCAAAGAATTTATCTGTATTAACTAATATCTTTATTAATTGCATTTTTTAGCACCTACCTATAATAATAACCATGAATTTAACAATCCAGATATTGTTATGTCACGAACAAAGCAATAGATAGTGTCAATAACTGGGTCTCTTGTAGAAATACCCCAAAAAATCAATGCTTTTGCTCATGTTCACCCACACACAATATTTGCTCTGGCATAAAAATCTTCTAAAACTGTATAATCCAAGAAATATCAAGACAAACCACTGAGACGATTAGAAGCTGCAGTACAAGTGGCAAGCACCTTAGTGTAGCTTTACAAATTCAGAGAAACCCAGGAAACTCAATAGTTTCTGCAAGCCTCAGTGTACTCCTCTGTAAATAATTAAGAAT